TTGCAAGTCCCCAACTGAGGAGTTTCCCTCACTCAGGAACTTAGGGGAGCACTGTTTATACCATACTTGACCAATCCCGAAACTATTAAGCACGGGTCAACATTATATCGTCAAGAACTCGGAAGAGTTTCTCTCCAACCAGAAGGCTAGTCATGACACGACACGTGTCGAGAGGCCAATCACAGCGCGACACGTGTCAACATCAGAGGCCAATCACAGCACGACACATGTCAATGTCAGAACAAAGCTAGAAACTCTCTTCTATAAAAGGGGATCATTCTCCCACAATAATCCCTAATGTCATTTGTACTAAATCATTCACTAGAACTCACTAAAGGAGTGCTTGAACCTATGTATTTGTGTAAACCCTTCACAATTAATGAGAACTCCTCTACTTCGTGGACGTAACCAATCTAGGTGAACCACGTACATCTTGTGTTTGCTTCCCTGTCTCTATCCATTCACATACTTATCCTCACTAGTGACTGGAGCAACCAAGCGAAGGTCACAAACTTTACGCTTTCTGTTGTACCAAAGTCCTCGCTGATTTTGTGCATCAACAATATTGATCATCCATCTCCCAATATCACATTTAATCAAAAAATTCCACCTATAAATGTAGAAGGAGGAGAAGAAGAATATTATAGAAGTGGGCTAAACCCTAAGGATAATATAGTAAGTCAATTTAAGAGTAAACTTGGAAAGAGAATTCAATTAAATTAGCGTGGATAACGAGTTACTGAACCTAACTCAACTATGAAACAAAAGACATTACACTTAACAGTGACTCACAAAATTGAACTTATGTTAATTTTCTTAATATATGCCCGAACTGAAAACACAAATAATTGCATCTTCCGAAATTGATGAAGAAAGTCTGGTTGTTCGTAAGTTGGTTGGGCGTTAACAAGGGTTGGTGTGTGGCTATTTGATTGAGACATAAGCAAAAAAAAAAAAAAAAAAAAAAACATAAATGAACCATATAGATATACATTGGGGTGTCTAAGTAAGAGGCACGTAAGCTTATAGCGACCTTCGTTTGAACTTCCTTCGTTTTCAAATTGTTAAAATTTGTGCGATCCTCCTCCACAAACCAAAAGAATGTAGTCGTTTGATTAAGAGTTCTTTGGACCCAAATTAAACACTGGGCTTACATAACATGTGCGCTAAACCACTGGAGGCTTAATGGGCATTAAATTTTTACAGTTTGGTGGACAGGAACCGGCACAATGTTTAAAATATAATTATCATGTAGCAGCTATGGATGGCAAACATATGAGAATAATCAGACTAGGAGATGTTGTAGATAAATTTGGTATTCGTGCCGTGTTTTTCATGTTTGTGTTGTTTTCGTGACATACTCGATATGTTAATAGGTTGAGTCGTGTAACACCCGTTAAAGTAAACATGTGATATGACCTGACCCGAAATTGACCTGTTAATATTATTATGTAATATGACTCAATCCATTACCCTTTAAAGAAAATATATTTTAAATTAGTAAATAATGAAAATGAAAAACATAAATTTGACCCAAAAAGAAATGAAAAACATAATACTAAATTAGTATATGCATATCACACTGTCACATAAATAGTACTTCAAAACATAAAGAAAACATTTGTCTTTTAAGTATTATATACTCCAAAATAAGTGCCTAATGAAAAAACATTAGTACATTACTACAAAATACCAAATGTTCCAGGATATGCAAAATAAAGGGAGTTGCATTTCAAGATTGAGGAACCTTACACAGTTTTTACAATAACCAAGGGAAATGATATTGGAATTTTGGCTTGATATATTGTCTTCAAGAGTTATATTAACAATGTTTTCATTAGTATTTAATGTGTATTATAATTTTTTTAATCTCACTCTTTGCCTATAATATACAATAAAAATAAATAAATAAATAAAACTTAAGATTTTTAAATTTATATAGAATAATAAAACAATAATACATATTTAATATACAATATATTCATATACTCTATAGCTATTGTATTTTATAGTAAGCTTTTTAGAATAAAAATTTAAAATCATCAAATAACTTTTTTCTTAACGTGTCAAAACGGGTTACCTGTAACATCCCACATCGCCTAGGGGAGTGGATTATGTAAGCCTTATATGTATATTCTTATTTCTACCTAGCACGAGGCCTTTTGGAAGTTTACTGACTTTGGGTTCCGTAGGAACTCTGAAGTTAAACGAGTTCGCGCGAGAGCAATCCCAGGATGGATGACCCATTGGGAAGTTCTCGTGGGAGTTTCCAGAAACAAAACCGTGAAGGTGTGGTAGGGGCCCAAAGTGGACAATATCGTGCTACGGTGGAGTTGAGCCCGAGATGTGGTGGGGGCCCGGGCCAGGATGGACATTACCCGCGTGTCACCTTCGTGTAAACTTGTTAAGGACTAGTTATTAACAGGTTCTTACCGTGTGACCCGATTAGTTATCTTGTCGATCCGAAACCCATTATTTTTGTGTCGTTCACGTATCGTGTTAACGAGTCGTATAAGAAATTACTAGGTCTAGTTGCAGAAGGTATATGTAATAAGAAAAGCACTTTATTTCAAAGGAAAAAACCCTGTAATTTCAAGGAGACTAAGTGTGAACTCACCTGTTGCCGAGCTTGTCACATCAACCACTTGACATGAAAAATGATGCATCAAGGAGCCGGGTTTATTTTAGGGTAAATTATACAAAACTATCTCAACTATGAGTCGAACGATACTTTCATACCTTATCTTTTAAAAATGACAATGTCATACCTTAACTTAAGAATTTGTGACAATGTCAGAGCTTCGTCAGTTTTTTTGTTAATTTCTTTGTTAAGTGTTGACGTGGCTAGAGATGGGGCCCACTCACTAATCCAACTGGATTAATAAATAGTTAAATATATTTTTAATAATTAAATATTATAAAATTATTTTTTATATAAAATTGTGGGATCCACCCTCTCTCTCCTCTCACTTTCTCACCTTTCTTTCTTTCTCTCTGGACACCTGCATCCCCAAAACCCAGAAACCCTTCCCACCCTTCCCACACGTCTCCCCCAACCTTCCTCCACCACCGTCTCTCTCTCATCTCTCTCTCGCCTATCTCTTTTCTCTTTCTCTCTGGACACCTGCATCCCCAAAACCCAGAAACCCTTCCCACCCTTCCCACCCATCCCCCCCCCAACCTTCCTTCACCACCCTACCGCTGCCCTCTCTTCCTCCATCTCCACCTCCTTCCCAAGGTTCAGCTAAACAAAAATTGAAAACGAAATTCGATAGATGAGAAAACAGAGAAACCAATCAAACCCACACCACAATGATACAATTCAATTCAAAGATTCTAACTTTCCCAATTTTCCCACGCTTTCTCGGCACCCAAACATAAAACAAGAAACAAAACCCAGAATCATCACCGCGAAACGCCCGATTCAGCTTCGCCCATTTGTAAATCTCCGACGGGTCCAAATACCCCAGAATCATCTCCGCGTAGCTCTCTGGCAAATGCCGAGATCGGGTTTTGATGGCAAAGATTTCAGTGCTTACAAACTTGTTTTCTGGGCTTGTTGCATGGACGCTCCCATGACACCTCCCAGCCACCTCTTCGCCAGGGATAGCTCTCTTCTTGCGTCGGGTAGGGAAGGGTGGACGGCTGGGGAAGGTTAAGGGGACGAGTGAGAAAGGTTGGGGTTTTCTGTTTGAAAATAGGGAATTAGGGTTAGGGTTTGGGTTTGAAAAGGACGGGAAGAGGTAGGGGAAGGGACGAGGTGGGGGATAGGGGTGGATTAGGGAAGGTTGGGGGGGCAAGGAAGAGTTTGGTGGTTGTTGAAGAGAAGAAGAAGGTTGGTGCGGGTGGAGGAAAGGGGAGGCCCGCACCCCCAGGCCATTTTTAATTTTTTAATTTTTTTAATATTTAATTATTTTTTAATCCAGTTGCATTGGTGAGTGGACCCTGTCTTTAGCCACGTCAGCATTTAACAGAGAAATTAACAGAAAAACTGACGGAGGTCTGACATTGTCACAAATTCGTAAGATGAGGTATGACATTATCAATTTTAAAAGACTAAGTATGAAAGTGTCGTGACACCAATAGTTGAGGTAGTTTTTTGTCATTTACCCTTCATTTTATTATTTCATACTATGAGTTAGTTCAACTAAAATTTTAATTTGGAATGACTTTGAACATCTCTAATGACGTTATTGTAAAGTTAAATTTTAACGAAAAAAAAAATACAAAATTATATTAGGAGCTCCCCATAAATGCTAAAAACACTTAATAACAACTTTCACCACCTCCTTCCTCCAGCCCGCCCTTCCCTTCACCTCTCTTCCTTCATCCATAGTTCCATACCACCCTTTCCATCCCTCGTCACCCACCCTCTCTTTCCCTACGAAGGCATAATCTAATCTCAACATATTAGCCACCATTAAAAAAGGCCCCTTTTTGATGTGTCACTAGCGGCAACGAGCAATCACAATTTACTAGGCATTGGCAATATAACTCAATTTGGGACTGAGATCCACTTCGATCTCTATGTCCTCTTTAGAAGTTGCACATATCACCAAAGTTAAAAGTCTTTGCTTGGTTGTTCATTTGAGATAAAATTCTAACCAACCAACAAAGATTTAAAAGGAAAATGACGTTGGATACTAATTGTCCTATATATGGTGGTTCAGTTAAAAATTTAATTCACTTTTTGAGAGAGCGTACTAAAGTTAAGAGTTGTTATAGAATTAATTCTATAATTAATGATAATTTAATGAGTCAACCAACAATAAATTTTGGCAGGAGAATACAATTAAGTTGGTGTGGGTAACGAGTCACTCAACCTAACCCAACAGTGAAATAAACGAAACTACCTAACTATGACTGGCAAAACTAAACTTAAATTAAGTTTTCTCAGTATAGGCCCCAACTGACTCACCAATAAAAGACAAATAATTGCATCTTCCGAAATTGATGAAGAAATCTGGTTGTTCGTATGTTGGCTGGGCATTAACAAGGGGTGGTGTGTAGCAATTTGATTGAGACATAAGCCAAATAAACAAACATAAATCAAACATTGATTAGCCCTAAAAAGTTAAACACACAGATTGTTCTCATCCCTAAGGTACCGAACCTGGAGACTGTGACGCGATTTAGGCCTATTAGCCTGTGTAACTTCTCTTATAAGGTACTCTAAAAAATCCTTGCTAATCGTCTTAAACCTCTCTTACCAAATTTAATCTCTCCTATGCAGAATGCTTTTGTAGCAGGCATGCAAATTCAAGATAATATATTGATTGTCCATGAGATCTTCCACTCCATGAAACTCAGCAGAACAAAAAGAAAATTTGAGTTGGATATTAAGCTATATATGAATAAGGCTTACAATCGGGTGGAGTGGGACTTCCTGGAGGAGGTTATGATTACCATGGGGTTTGGTAGGAGATGGGTAAATTTAATCACGAAGTGTGTGGTGACTGTTGATTTCTCTATTTTAATTAATGGCAAACCTGGCAGGAAATTTCTATCGTCTTGGGGTCTTCGTCAAGGTGATCCCTTCTCACCCTATCTATTTTTGTTCGTAAGTGATGTTCTTTCTTCGCTTATTCAAATAGCGATCGATTTGAATTATCTTAGCGGAATAAAAATTAGTTCAATTAGTCCATGCATTTTGCATATGTTCTTTACGGATGATACCTTGATTTTTCTCCAGGAAAAAACAACAAAATTGCAGGAATATTGTGCAGATCCTAAAAGCTTATTGTGCTGCCTTGGGTCAGCAGGTTAGTCTTAACAAATCAAGTGCTTATTTTAGTGCAAATACCCCAAGGACAGTTATGGAGGAGATGGGTGGGATACTTAGGATGCCCATTGTTGATAACCTTGGTACTTATCTGGGTCTGCCAACAATTTGGGGTAGGTCTAAATGTCAAGCTTTGGGATATATTAAAGATCGATTATTGAGAAAGATTTAGGGATGGAAACATAAATTGTGGTCGTATACGGGTAAATAAGTACTGATTAAAGCTGTTGCTCAAGCTGTTCCAGTTTATTCAATGAATATTTTCAAATTTCTTGAACATTTTTGTAAGGAACTGGATTCTCTAATTGCGGGTTTTTGGTGGGGACAAAATAATGAGGATAAGCGGATTCATGAAAGTCAGAAATTTACAAGAGTTTAATGTTGCTTTGTTGGCAAAACAATGTTGGAGAACGTTGATGGAGCATGATTCTTGGGTCAGATTAATGAAAGTGAGATACTTTCCCCATTCTTCATTTCTCGAGGCTAGAAAACGAAGTTGGGCCTCGGGGGCTTGGGCAAGTTTATTGGAAGGGAGAGAGATTCTTTTGAGAGGAGGCCAGTGGCAGGTGATGAATGGTAGAAATATAAGGCTGTGGATGGATCGTTGGATTCCTTCTTTGCCGAAGAGACATCCTTATCCTTCAGAGTCTTCGAATATAAACTGGAGCCAGAATTTTGCTTCCATAATTAGGCCATATTCTCATGAATGGGACCTCCAACCCATTAGTTCTTGTCTGTCTCAACGTGAGATGGAACAGATAAAAAAGGTACAAATTGGAGACCCTTCCTGTGATGATCGATTCATTTGGCCTTTAGAAAAAAGATGTAAGTATACGGTTAAGTCTGGTTATCATTGGATTCATAGCATGGAGGCTCCTATATGTAATGAGGAAGAGGAATAGGTGGAGCATTTGTTCTCGTTGTGTCCATGGGTTCAGCCTATCTGGTTTGGAGGTCAACTTAATTACAAGGTGAATCGAAATGAAATTGATACTTTTGAAAATTGGTTATATTCTTTAATTAATGCTAATATGGGAAGTAAGCAAGATAAGAACCGAATTTTATCATAAGTGGCTTTCACATGTTGGAATGTCTGGAAAAAGAGATGTAATGCTATTTTCAATCAGAAAACTGTGTTGCCTTTGTAGGTAATTCATAAAATTAATTATGGCCATGCTGCTTTCATGGAGGCTAACAAAAGGTCGAACAGGGTTGCTGTGGGATCGAGAACTTCTCCAGGTAATCAAGCAAATTTGATTCGAGATTCTCAATCAATCTCGGTTTGGTCTCCACCAGAGATTTCATGGTACAAAGTAAATGTTGATGCAAGTTGGATGTCGATAACGAAAAAAGGATATGTGGCCACGGTGATCAACAACTCTAATGGCAAATTTATTGCTACTAAAAAGCAAAGTATTTTGGCGGAGGGAGTGCAAGAAGCTGAGGCAAAAGCTATTTTGGAAGGGTGCAAGCTTGCTAATCATTTGGAGTTAGGGAAGGTTATAATTGAATCAGATTCAAAGGAAGTTGTCTCTAGCTTATGTAATTCCATTTACCAGGGAAGGTGGGAGGTAGTTCCGGTGCTTTGGAAAGCTATGCAGCTGAAGGGGTCATTCCAACAGTGTAGATGGTCTTGGGTTCCTCGATCCGCCAATATGGTGGCTCATAGATTAGCTTCTGCGCAGTACTCGGAGATGAGCAATTATACTTAGGTCGAAAGACCCCCATCTTCGATTGTACATATTTTGAACAAAGATGGTCTACCTTGCCCACATTAATTAGAGTCGGTGTTGGAGTGATTTAGGGTGACATGTAGTTGTTGACTGTGTTGGTCTTTAACCCTGTATCACTCTGTTGTATGTTGTTTCTCTGGTTTGTAGCATTGTTTATCCTCTGTGTGGGCTTTTTTGGTGTATTTTGGCTTTGCCCTAGAGTAATTCCAGTTTAACCAAAAAAAAAAAAATCAATCATAGATATACACGTAGGGATCAGTCTTAGTACGACAAACGTAAAGCTTATAGCGACCTTCCTTTGTTCTTTCGTTTTCAAAAACATTGATTAACAGCGATAACTAAGTATTTCATGTTTTGATTGAGAGTGATGATTAAGTATTCAATCAAAACATTGATTTCTATTTCTTAAAGATGGTTTCCGATTTTGTTAATTTTTTGTACATATAATTTTGTGTTATTTATATAGGCCCCTATAATTCTGGTTTCCTAAACATAAACCCAACTATCTTAACATCCAAATAAAACCCAAAATTCTAATTTTTTGACATGTAGGCAAGGAAGTAACCTATTACTACAAATTATTTACAGCTTATGCCACTAGACACTAATTATGTTAATGAATCATATTATTATCTACAATAATGGTGAGTGAATTTCGTTGAGTTTTAATAGGCATGATTTCAGGGTTTTTTTATCTTCCCGTTAAATCCTTATTTCATCTACTTTTTTTTTTTTTTAGCAATCTAACATTTTAAATTTCAAAGCAAGTGGCATTTTACCACAGTTGTGGAAAAATGTTGAGCTCTTGTATGACGGTGTAGGTTCAAACCCCGTCTATGGCTAATTTAGCATAATTTATCGTTTGACCAAAAAAGAAAATTTTCAAATTCAAATAATAGGTGCACTATTTGTGGGTTGAAAACAATAGTTTTTCTTTCCAAAGTTGACTAAGACAATTATAAATTTACTTTTCCGTAAGTATAAGTAAATTAACTTTAAATCATATAACATATTGATCCTATATATAAATTTATTTATGATTAGTTAATTTTCCTAATATAAATTCATTGCCTAATTAATATACCTATAAATTTCATAATATGCTTAATGTATACATTTCTTTTAATAAAAAATAAAAAAGTAAAACATGCCTAATATATGTAATAATACGTTTTGCTTGCAAAGTACCTCACGTGTTTAATGTGCAGCCTCCTTTTCATTGGCTCCCTCCCCCAGCGCGTTGGAACAAGATTAATGTAGTTGGCTCTTTTAGCTCATCTACAAATTCTGGGGGCGTCAGTGTGGTGTTCAGTGACGAAGCCAGTAGTTATACTGGAAGTTTTGCTTGCAAAGTAACTCACGTGACTAGACCTAACACGGTTGAGATTCTTGCTGTTCGAGAAGGGCCTTAGGCCTGGTTTGGTACTGAAGTGATTCTGAAAAAAGCTGGTATAAAAAAAAACTGGGAGCTGTTTTTGTGTTTGGTAAACATTCAGCTTTAGCTTTTTTCCACAGTTTTGGGTGAAAAAAAGCCAAAAACAAGAAGCTGCAAAATCCAGCTTTGAAAAACTGGCTTTTTTTCACATCTGTTTTACATAAAAGTTTACCAAACACTATAATACTGTTTTTTTTTTTTTCAAAAGCACTTTTACAAAAAAGTTTACCAAATACTCTGCTGCTTTATTTCACAGCCGCTTATTCTCACAGCACAGCAGAAGCAGTTTTTTTTCAAAGCACAGCACTACCAAACCAACCCTTAGTTGGCTGCACAGAAAAATTGGCAGCTTGTTATCTTGGAGTTTGATGCGGTACTGGTTGTCCAAGCTAAAGGCAGTTTACATAGTGGTTCTCCTGCAACTGATTTACTGATTGATGATATTAAAACTCGCCTGCAGGGATTTGAATAGTCCAAAGTTTGCCATGTTCGCCGATCTGCCAATGATGCGGCACATAGAATAGCCAAATTGATCTTTTTGTCTAATTTCACCAGTTGCTGGTTTGAGGAGCCTCTAGATTTTCTTCTGCATGCTCTCCTTGATGATTGTATGTGTTCTTAATATTTTGAATAAAACCACTATCGTTTCTCCTAAAAAAAAGAGTTAGTTAGCTTTAATGAAAAGGTCTTGGGCTAAGTGTATTTTAACAAAAAAAACATCTAATATCTTTATTTAATGAAAATGACTTAAACTTTAATTAAAAAAACACTTAAATTTTAATGAAAAATGATAAAAGTTTAATATAATAAAAAAAAATAATTAAAAAAAAACTGATGTGCAGGACCTGGCCGTGCATCCACCATATCTCAATACTTTTTTGTGATTCCAAAATGCTTCTTTGTAGGGTTGTGCATGAACCTTGAAAGTAAACTTGCTACAAACATAATCTAGTCTAATGGCAGTTAAATATAGCAAACTTCCCACAATTCTCCTGTAGATAGATTCATCTGCATGTTCACTTCAATCTATACACAACTTATCATTTGCAGATAATGAAATACTCACAAGTTTGAGTTCTTGAGTTTAAACTTATCAACAGTGTCAAAGCATACTTTTTTTGGTGAATGAAGATGTTTCTACCTGTTTTCACAATCCCTATGCCAAGGCAATGATGAAGTAGACCTACTCTGTCATCTTATACCTCCTCATCATTTTTGCCTTGAATTTTTTAGCATTGATTTATCACTTCCTATGTAGACAATACCATCTACATAAATGTACACAATGAGAGTTTCAGCACCCTTTCACTTTGTGTACACAATGTTGCTTCACTTGAGCTTCTCTCCATATCAAACTTTTAGAGCTTATTTCAAACCATACATTTATTTTTTAAGCTTGTAGACCTTGTCTTTTGCATTTAGCACAGTAAATCCCTCAGTTTGATCTACGTATGCTTTTTCTTGTAAGACAATTTAGGAATGCAGAATTGACATTTAACTTAAATAACTTCCAACATTTCTAAGTTGGGAATGCAGTGAGAAATCTAATTGTATCAAACCGAGTAACGGGTGCAAAGGTTCAATAAAGTCTGTACTTTTGTAACTAGTCTAGCTTTATGCTTTTGGAATGTGCTATCCAAGTTTTACTTGGTCTTGTACACCCATTTGACTCCTATAAATGGCATGTAGGCCTTCAGCTCACCATAACGATTTTGCCCTTAACGTCGTGAGCATTCCACAGAGTACCCCAAGGAGCGCGGCACCTGCTTGCCATATGAGTATAAGGCCTTCGAGCTGCCATGGTGCTCGTTGGGCCCATAGTGTCCTACCACCTACCCATACCCGACCAAGCTGGTTGGAAGCCAATTCTTTGGAGTCTTCCCTTAGGAGTCTAACGCTCTTGCGCTTCTACCAACAGAGACCTCTTGGACTACTTGTGAGCGGTCTAAGGAGACTGGTACGAACCATTACTAGCAAAACTTTAAGGTCTATTTAGTATTGCCTGCAACCTCCCCTCCCAGCTGCCTGCGAGGTTTGGGTCTATAAATAGCCAAGTCAAACAGGAAAATCGATAATCGCCACTTATTGCTCGGAACTCTATCAAGTTCATTGTAATAACTCGAATATACAAATTTTAAATATATTTAGTAATTTCTTTACTGAATATGTTTATGAGGGTTTCATTAGGATTGGAATAGGTTAGTGAGCTTTGCAAAAAAAAAAGAAAAAAAAAAAAAAAAAAGGTGAGTACCAACCTTCACTTTAAAACATAGAAGTCATATTTTCTCTTCTTTTATTTTGAACTTGCAAACAAGGGCCTAGGATTTTGATTTCGTTGAAGCTGTTAGAGGAAGAAAAGGGCTTAACAGAGTTTATGTACATTTAAAACGTTGTTTTGTGATTTGGATAATACAATAGAAGTTAAATTTGTAGACTAATTTTGTAAATCAAATGACATAGAAGTTGATGATTTGAATATTATTTAAGAGTAATGCAAGAGAGACTAAATGTGTAGACAAAATTTTGTAAACTAAATGACTTAGAAGTTAATGATTGGATTATTACTTACGTGTCGATTAACATGCTTATTTCTTATTGGTAGCATCATTTAATTTGTAAATTTAGTCTACAATTTAGGCTAACTAGCATTACCCTTACTTAAATGTTGATTAACAAGTTTATTTCTTATAGGTAACAGATCATATAGTTTACAAATATAGTTTACAAAGCACTAGAATTAAGGTTTGCTGTTAGTCTTGCTCTAATAAAAAAACTCCTCACAAACCCGTCACTTTAAGGGTCTATTCTTTTTTCGTACACGCATCTAATCCCAAAATAAGTACTTAGGATTGTAACTCCCTCCGAGTACCATGAAATCCACATATTGTATGTTCAATTCCGTTGAGTATAGGGTAAGTTAAAGCCACAGTAAGTCAGTACCTTGAACTTGGAATTTCCGCGCAAAAATCAGCAGTTTTCTGGGTAAGAAGTGACATCAACGTGAAGTCATCACTCTTGACCTAACTCTGACCGGCACATTTGAACTAACCGTAACTCCCTTTTTTACACCGTTTTCACCGTTGCTGTGAAATCTCATACTCAAAGATTTGCTGTTCGATTTTCGTAATTCGTATTTTATTAGAATTTATTTTTATATTTCATAAATTTGAGATTGTTAGTTAAGTAGTGTTTTTTTTTTTTTTAACAAACGATATTATCTACACTAAGAGAGTTGGAGGGGGGGAGAAAGCTAGCCTCACAATAAGCTAGCAATAATATGGTTCAAATTTGCCTTTGGCGAGAATCGAACTTGAGACCTTTTACTTACAAGTGAAGAGGAATACCACTAGACCGTAGTACTCAATGATTGTTTGTTAGGTAGTTACTGAAAGGTCAATTTTCCATACTAGTCATTTAAAATCTGTAAACCTTTTGGGGTCACTCTTGGAATTTTTGGGTAGAACTCGATCCCACGAACGCGTTGGTGAAAACAGTTCGCAAATTGGAGTTGTAACAAAAGAGAAATAAGTGAACAAATTCAGGGGCAATTTGGTCATTTGGACCTTCTATATATAGAAAGGCCCAGATTTTTAGAGGAGCCTTCCATTTTATGACTGTCCCATGTGACCTGGCCCTAGGCCTAGCAATTCTTAATACGACGTGATAATCCGACACGATACGATACGAAATTAACAAGTATTTGGGTTGACACGATAACGAATTGAGTCGTTATCGGGTAACCTTATAAACACTTGTTAAGACAACTGGTTGGTTCAGGTCT